CCTAATCCCAATTGAGATGTTGTGGCAGGACTTGAAACGAGCAGTTCATGCTTGAAAACCCACACGTCACTGAGTTAAAGCAGTTCTGCATGGAAGAGTGGGCCAAAATTCATCCACAGCAACGTGAGAGACTGATCAACAATTACAGGAAGCATTTGGTTGGAGTCATTGCAGCTAAAGGTGGCACAACCAGTTATTGAGTGTAAGGGGGCAATTACTTTTTCACACAGGGGAATTGGGTGTTGCATAACTTTGTTTATGAAATAAATATGTAATTGTTGTGTTATTTGTTCACTTATGTACCCTTTATCTAATATTAGGTTTTGGTTGAAATCTGATAACATTCAGTATCACAAATATGCAAAAGTAGAGAAAATTAGAAAGGGGGCAAATACTTTTTCAGAGCACTGTAAATAATCATTATAAGTGATTAAAAACAAAACTCAAAACACACAAGCACCTGGGAAGAGATGCTAAAACAGAAATCAAACAAGCCTAAAAACTCAGTGGAAAATTGACTGTTTAAGAAGGAGTGCTCCTGTTCTGTCATCAGAGTTCTGGAGAGTTAGAGATGTATGATTCATGGCTTATTTTGGCTGCAAGGCAGCTCGGTGGAAACGTAATATCAGTCAAGTTAAAATAATCCACAGGCAGTAAAAGAGCACTAGAATGAATGACTATAAAATAGGGGAAATAAAAAATGCCCAGAGTTTCTGTATCGTCAGGTATTTGACGTTACTCCTGCAGGTTTGTACATTTCTTAGTTAAATGTGTTAAAAGGATCCTCGCTGGGGATCTTTATAAAAAAAAGTCTAATCATATATTGCATGAGGTTAAAGGATGTAAAAGCTAATGCATGTCCCTACTGCAAAACATGAGGATGTTTCCAGACCCAAAGGAGACCTCACAAACAAGAGCATTTCCCCTCCAGGGCACCAGAGGGCAGTGTATGGGAGGGGACCTGGTTGCCAGTAGCAGGTCTCTAACATAGAGAATGATTGAGGCCTCTAGTGGCAAAAGGCCGTATTAGCATGGGCAGTGCCATTGAGGGCATCCACCATTTTAATGTTATCAACTGGGTGGGACTTCCAACTTTATTGGCAGATCCCTCCTGGTGACCCCGTTGGAGTCATGTCCAACTGGGTCATCAGGAGGGATCAGCCAATCATGAAGAAGAAAATTGACTACTTCAAAATGGAGATCGCTTCACTGGAGCTGCCCATGCTGTCAGACGCTACAATGGCACAGATACAAAGACGAGTCCTCTATCCATCTTTATGGTCCCTACAGAACCGTGAGAGGCACTGTAAAGGAGAGCCCAGAAGAGCTAGTCTGATAGGTCAGTCCCACCAGCTCACTGTTTCACAGCTGCAACAACCTGGTCTCTCTTTGAGGAGGGCGTGTAGGGCTCAGCTGATGATTCATATTCCAGGTGTCGTTGGTCTCTCCTCTAGTCTAGGAGGTCATGATTCTAGGAGACCACAGAAGAAGAGAAGGTACCATCAAGTGTAGCTGGTCTATCTGACCCTTTGAGGGAGGTGCAATTGGTTGCTCTCATCTCTGGGGGAGGTGCTATAGGGAGTGGCTGGTCTCTGTCGGTTAGGGAGGTGCTATAGAGAGTGGCTTGTCTCTGTCAGTTAGGGAGGTGCTATAGAGAGTGGCTGGTCTCTGTCTGTTAGGGAGGAGCTATAGAGAGTGGCTTGTCTCTGTCTGTTAGGGAGGTGCTATAGAGAGTGGCTGGTCTCTGTCTGTTAGGGAGGAGCTATAGAGAGTGGCTTGTCTCTGTCTGTTAGGGAGGTGCTATAGAGAGTGGCTTGTCTCTGTTAGGGAGGTGCTATAGAGAGTGGCTGGTCTCTGTCTGTTAGGGAGGTGCTATAGAGAGTGGCTGGTCTCTTTCTGTTAGGGAGGTGCTATAGAGAGTGGCTTGTCTCTGTCTGTTAGGGAGGTGCTATAGAGAGTGGCTGGTCTCTTTCTGTTAGGGAGGTGCTATAGAGAGTGGCTTGTCTCTTTCTGTTAGGGAGGTGCTATAGAGAGTGGCTGGTCTCTGTATGTTAGGGAGGAGCTATAGAGAGTGGCTGGTCTCTGTCAGTTAGGGAGGTGCTATAGAGAGTGGCTGGTCTCTGTTAGGGAGGTGCAATAGAGAGTGGCTGGTCTCTTTCTGTTAGGGAGGTGCTATAGAGAGTGGCTGGTCTCTGTCAGTTAGGGAGGTGCTATAGAGAGTGGCTGGTCTCTGTCTGTTAGGGAGGTGCTATAGAGAGTGGCTTGTCTCTGTCTGTTAGGGAGGTGCTATAGAGAGTGGCTGGTCTCTGTCTGTTAGGGAGGTGCTATAGAGAGTGGCTTGTCTCTGTTAGGGAGGTGCTATAGAGAGTGGCTGGTCTCTGTTAGGGAGGTGCTATAGAGAGTGGCTTGTCTCTGTTAGGGAGGTGCTATAGAGAGTGGCTTGTCTCTGTCTGTTAGGGAGGTGCTATAGAGAGTGGCTTGTCTCTGTCTGTTAGGGAGGTGCTATAGAGAGTGGCTGGTCTCTGTCTGTTAGGGAGGTGCTATAGAGAGTGGCTGGTCTCTGTCTGTTAGGGAGGTGCTATAGAGAGTGGCTTTTCTCTATCTGTTAGGGAGGTGCTATAGAGAGTGGCTGGTCTCTGTCTGTTAGGGAGGTGCTATAGAGAGTGGCTGGTCTCTGTTAGGGAGGTGCTATAGAGAGTGGCTTGTCTCTGTTAGGGAGGTGCTATAGAGAGTGGCTTTTCTCTATCTGTTAAGGAGGAGCTATAGAGAGTGGCTGGTCTCTGTCTGTTAGGGAGGTGCTATAGAGAGTGGCTGGTCTCTGTTAGGGAGGTGCTATAGAGAGTGGCTGGTCTCTTTCTGTTAGGGAGGTGCTATAGAGAGTGGCTTGTCTCTGTCTGTTAGGGAGGAGCTATAGAGAGTGGCTGGTATCTGTATGTTAGGGAGGTGCTATAGAGAGTGGCTTGTCTCTGTCTGTTAGGGAGGTGCTATAGAGAGTGGCTGGTCTCTGTCTGTTAGGGAGGTGCTATAGAGAGTGGCTTGTCTCTGTCTGTTAGGGAGGTGCTATAGAGAGTGGCTGGTCTCTGTCAGTTAGGGAGGAGCTATAGAGAGTGGCTGGTCTCTGTATGTTAGGGAGGTGCTATAGAGAGTGGCTTGTCTCTGTCTGTTAGGGAGGTGCTATAGAGAGTGGCTGGTCTCTGTCTGTTAGGGAGGTGCTATAGAGAGTGGCTGGTCTCTGTCTGTTAGGGAGGTGCTATAGAGAGTGGCTTGTCTCTGTCTGTTAGGGAGGTGCTATAGAGAGTGGCTGGTCTCTGTCGGTTAGGGAGGAGCTATAGAGAGTGGCTTGTCTCTGTTAGGGAGGAGCTATAGAGAGTGGCTTGTCTCTGTTAGGGAGGTGCTATAGAGAGTGGCTTGTCTCTGTCTGTTAGGGAGGTGCTATAGAGAGTGGCTGGTCTCTGTATGTTAGGGAGGTGCTATAGAGAGTGGCTGGTCTCTGTCTGTTAGGGAGGTGCTATAGAGAGTGGCTTGTCTCTGTCTGTTAGGGAGGTGCTATAGAGAGTGGCTGGTCTCTGTATGTTAGGGAGGTGGTATAGAGAGTGGCTGGTCTCTGTTAGGGAGGTGCTATAGAGAGTGGCTGGTCTCTGTTAGGGAGGTGCTATAGAGAGTGGCTTGTCTCTGTCTGTTAGGGAGGTGCTATAGAGAGTGGCTGGTCTCTGTCTGTTAGGGAGGTGCTATAGAGAGTGGCTTGTCTCTGTCTGTTAGGGAGGAGCTATAGAGAGTGGCTGGTCTCTGTATGTTAGGGAGGTGCTATAGAGAGTGGCTTGTCTCTGTCTGTTAGGGAGGTGCTATAGAGAGTGGCTGGTCTCTGTCTGTTAGGGAGGTGCTATAGAGAGTGGCTGGTCTCTGTCTGTTAGGGAGGTGCTATAGAGAGTGGCTTGTCTCTGTCTGTTAGGGAGGTGCTATAGAGAGTGGCTGGTCTCTGTCGGTTAGGGAGGAGCTATAGAGAGTGGCTTGTCTCTGTTAGGGAGGAGCTATAGAGAGTGGCTTGTCTCTGTTAGGGAGGTGCTATAGAGAGTGGCTTGTCTCTGTCTGTTAGGGAGGTGCTATAGAGAGTGGCTGGTCTCTGTATGTTAGGGAGGTGCTATAGAGAGTGGCTGGTCTCTGTCTGTTAGGGAGGTGCTATAGAGAGTGGCTTGTCTCTGTCTGTTAGGGAGGTGCTATAGAGAGTGGCTGGTCTCTGTATGTTAGGGAGGTGCTATAGAGAGTGGCTGGTCTCTGTATGTTAGGGAGGTGCTATAGAGAGTGGCTGGTCTCTGTCAGTTAGGGAGGTGCTATAGAGAGTGGCTGGTCTCTGTCTGTTAGGGAGGTGCTATAGAGAGTGGCTGGTCTCTGTATGTTAGGGAGGTGCTATAGAGAGTGGCTTGTCTCTGTTAGGGAGGAGCTATAGAGAGTGGCTTGTCTCTGTTAGGGAGGAGCTATAGAGAGTGGCTTGTCTCTGTTAGGGAGGTGCTATAGAGAGTGGCTGGTCTCTGTCTGTTAGGGAGGTGCTATAGAGAGTGGCTGGTCTCTGTCTGTTAGGGAGGTGCTATAGAGAGTGGCTGATCTCTGTCTGTTAGGGAGGTGCTATAGAGAGTGGCTTGTCTCTGTTAGGGAGGTGCTATAGAGAGTGGCTGGTCTCTGTTAGGGAGGTGCTATAGAGAGTGGCTGGTCTCTGTCTGTTAGGGAGGTGCTATAGAGAGTGGCTGATCTCTGTCTGTTAGGGAGGTGCTATAGAGTGTGGCTTGTCTCTGTTAGGGAGGTGCTATAGAGAGTGGCTTGTCTCTATCTGTTAGGGAGGTGCTATAGGAGGAAGCATCAGGTGCATCAGAGTGAATGGTTTCTCTCATTCATTTCTTGTCCTTTAGGAAAGTGTTATTGGGCATGTCTGGTCTCCCTGTGTGTTATTTGAGGAAGCCTTTATAGAGCAGGTGTGAGCGGCTGGTCTCTCTCTCATTTTCCAGACAGAAGAGCAGGTCCCTGAGGTTGACCCTGGTGATGCGCTGGCGCTGAGGCCTGGAGCCTCCGCTATTGTACACACCTGACGGAGAGGGACCAGAGCAAGAATCCTGAAGAGAGAGAGAGAGGAGGGAGGGAGGGAGAAGGGGAGAGAGAGGTGGGGGAAGACAGAGAAAGTAAAGTAATCCATGTTGATCTTCAAAAATATGTGTATGCATAAACTGCTATCAACTAAAAGCATTGTTTTCTTTGTTAAGATCAATCAAGAGTCAATGATCCAGCCCACAATACTGGTCTATGTTTGGTTATGATACTCTACCTCAGCCCCGGCTCCGCTGACGGGGGAGTTCATTTTCCGTTTCTTCCTGGGGCCGATGGCTGCCAGGGCCGTCATGTTGGCCTCCTTCTGCCTGATCTGATTCAGCTCCTGCTGCTGCATCTAGAACACACACACACACAGGGAACAGGCATTACAATACAAGACTCCTGTGCCTGAAGACAGAGACACATGACATGCTCACACACATACCCGCACCCACTATACATGAACATATTGACACACAAAGAGTATGAGAAACACTACAATTCATTCACATACGACATGTTACGCTAATGCTACACACACTATGTATACAGCTACACAAACCCTGTACTCTCACCTCTTTAGCCTTCTGTTTAAGCCGAAGCTGCTCTGGGTCCTCTTGCCGTGATCGAGACTGGGGGAGGAAAGAGGCACAGTATTCAGCATCACCACTACTGGCACTTACAGTATATGACCCCTAGATGGCACAAACTGCTATACATCAGTTACCTTAGCTGCCTTCATCAGGATCTCTCTCTCCTGCTCCTCCTTCCTCTGTTTCTCCATCTGATCCAGCTGCTCAAAGAACTTCAGCTGGGCTCGCACGTCACTCACCTGTTCATACTTATCATCCTCCTGAAGGAGAGATAGAGAGAGGGGGAGGGAGGGAGAGGGGGAGGGAGAGGGAGATAGAGGGGGAGGGTGATAGAGGGGGAGGGGGAGGGGGGGAGGGGGAGAGGGGGAAGATAAATAATGAATTACGAGGGTAAAATGGTTCATTTTACATTTTAGTCATTTAGCAGACGCTCTTATCCAGAGTTAGTGAGTGCATACATTTTTTCATACTGGCCCCCCGTGGGAATCGAACCCACAACCCTGGCGTTGCAAACACCATGCTCTACCAACTGAGCTACATGGGACCATGGTTCAATCAGATATTATCATTGGCATCATCAAATTATTTCAGCACTTTTTGCGAACCCGTTGCCATTAGCACCAGTGAAGATGAAAGACCAAATCACAACCCCGTTTTGACTAAATATAACATACAACTTCAATAGCTCATTAAATAACTTCTCTAGTGAACCTCTTCCACACAAACACCCACAGAAGCTATGTTCTCTCACCTTGAAGGTGATGTTTTTCTGCTGCGCCACCTCCGTCACTTTCTCCAGCAGGTTCTGCAGCCGCTGCTGTGTAGCATGGGAAACGTAGTTGATCACCTCCGGCCCCAGGTCAGTCACCCCTAACCTCCTGCCTGTTACAACACAACAGGACAGGAGATGTCAGAGATTTTAGGTATAGAATGTGTGTGTGTGTGTGCGTGTTGTGTCTGTGTCTGTGTGTGTGTGTGGTGTGTCTGTGTGTGTGTGTGTGGTATGTGTGTGTGTGTGTAGTGTGTCTGTGTGTGTGTGTGTGTGTGTGTGGTGTGTGTGGTGTGTCTGTGTGTGTGTGTGGTGTGTCTGTGTGTGTGTGTGTGTGTGTGGTGTGTCTGTATGGTGTGTCTGTGTGTGTGTATGGTGTGTCTGTGTGTGTGTATGGTGTGTCTGTGTGTGTGTATGGTGTGTCTGTGTGTGTGTGGTGTGTCTGTGTGTGTGTGGTGTGTCTGTGGTGTGTCTGTGTGTGTGTATGTGCGTGTCTCACCTATCTCATGTACTCTCTGTGTTAGTGAGGAGGTGTAGAGGAAGGCCTCGTCCTTACAGGAGCGGGTCACCGCGCCGACCATCTCAGAGTTGGTTGCCAGAATGCGGGCACTCTCCTCTGATAGGTTGACTCCAGCCATAGAGGCCACGTCATTTATGTCATCATCATCCCTGGATGGAGGGAGAGAAACTGTTTATAAGGCCTCATTTTAACGAAATCATCGGATTTGTACATGGATGTCTGTGTGTGTGTGTGTTTTGTGTTTACTTGAAGATTCCTCCGCCTGCCTCCTGCCTGTTCTTCTGTACTACGTGGAGCATAGACTGGGGCCCCAGTGTTACCTTGGCCCCTGGTGCTAGAGCCTGCTTCACTACAGGAACTGAGAGAGAGAGGGACAGAAGGAGAGAGCGAAGGGAACAGTTACATAACAGACAGACACTATACCTTTATTCAGCCTCCTAACCCTTTCATATCATATATCATAATTCATCAATAAATCATTTACTTTGTCTTGGTAGAGTTGCTGTGAGCAGAAGAGTGAAGCGGACCTCAAGAGGAAGTGAGATGGAGGAAGAAAACATTTCACAGATGAGAGAGCTTTCTATGGGTCCCTCAAACCCCATCCATCAATAGACGTGATCAATATAGCATGCAGTTATATACATATGTCACAAGGGGCAGTGTTTCTATACAGTCCCTGGTCAGTGAAGCCAGCAAGGCAAGCCAGGGGGACAGTGGACACACACACACACACACACACACACACACACACACACACACACCACACACACACACACAGCAGCAGCACTTATCACATCACTGCCGTCTCCACTAGCTAATAGCTGCCGGTCACATACAGAACCAATACACTTCTTTCTGTCTGTTGCCTTTGATCACAGACACTGCTAATTGGCATTGTTCACACCATGTGTGTTTGTCCCAGAGCCTCCCAGCCCAGTGGAAAAATACCTCACACAGGAAAGATCCAATCCTGCACATGAGTCGTATCACATTCTACAGTGATGGTGTATCAAAGCACTAGATAATAAGATAAAGATTAATAAGGTAATACAAACTACTATTAGGCCTATAGTATATTTTATCCTTTGTATAAACAATATTTATATTAGAGATGTTCACGTATGATGAGTACACAAACGCACGCATCAAACACACAGGCAAAATGCAGTTAATAGAGTCGATGTCTGCGCCCCCGCGGAAATCTAATTAGCGTAATAATAAAAATCACCATGAAGATCTGTCAGTTTAAGCTGGAGATATGTTTTTTTTGCATTGGATGCGTCTCAATCCGAGATATCGCACTTCCCCATCTGCGGTGAAACAGTTTGGGCTACACACTCTGTGGAAAGGTGAGACTCACGAAAACGTACAGGTCCCCCCCGTACCAGTTGGAAAAAATGAATGGAAGTACAGTGCATTCGGAAAGTATTCTGACCCCTTGATTTTTTCAACATTTTGTTACGTTACAGCCTTATTCTAAAATGGATTTAAAAAATAAATAATCCTCAATCTACACACAATACCCCATAATGACAAAGCGAAAACAGTTTATTAGAATTTTTTCAAATGTATAAAAAAAAAAAAAACAGAAATACCTTGTTTACATAAGTATTCAGACTCTTTCCTATGACACTCGAAATTGAGCTCCGGTGCATCCTGTTTCCATTTATCATCCTTGAGATGTTTCTACAACTTGTGGCCTCCATCATTCTTAAATGGAAGAAGTTTGGAACCACCAAGACTCTTCCTAGAGCTGGCTGCCCGGCCAAACGGAGCAATCGGGGGAGAAGGGCCTTGGTCAGGGAGGTGACCAAGAACCCAAAGTTCACTCTGACAGAGCTCCAGAGATCCTCTGTGGAGATGGGAGAACATTCCAGAAAGACAACCATCTCTCCAGTACTCCACCAATCAGACCTTTATGGTAGAGTGGCCAGAAGGACGCCACTCCTCAGTAAAAGGCACATGACAGCCCGCTTGGAGTTTGCCAAAAGGCACCTCAAGGACTCTCAGACCATGAGAAACAAGATGCTCTGGTCTGATGAAACCAAGATTGAACTCTTTGGCCTGAATGCCAAGTGTCACGTCTGGAGGAAAACTGGCACCATCCCTACAGTGAAGCATGGTGGTGGCAGCATCATGCTGTGGGGATGTGCTTTTCAGGCAGGGACTGGGGAGAGGACACAATTTTACATTACATTTTAGTACATTAGAGACCGTCTTATCCAGAGGACTTACAGTTAGTGCAAATAATTTTTTATCGAACCACAACCCTGGCGTACAAACGCCATGTCTACCAACTGAGCTACATCCCTGCCGGCCATTCCCTCCCCTACCTGGACGACGCTGGGCCAATTGTGCGACGCCGCCCATGGGTCCCCGGTCGCGGCCGCTACGACAGAGCCTGGATTCGAACCAGGATCTTAGTGGACACAGCTGCACTGCGATGCAGTGCCTTAGACACTGCGCACCGGGAGTTAGACTAGTCAGGATCGAGGGAAAGAGTGAACGAGAGCAAAGTACAAAGAGATCCTTGATGAAAATCAGAGCGCTCAGGACCTCAGACTGAGGCGAAGGTTCACCTTCCAACAGGACAACAACCCTAAGCACACAGCCAAGAAAATGCAGGACTGGCTTCGGGACAAGTCTCTGAATGTCCTTGAGTGGCCCAGCCAGAGCCCGGACTTGAACCTGATCGAACATCTCTGGAGAGACCTGAAATAGCTGTGTAGCGACGTTCCCCATCCAACCTGACAGAGCTTGAGAAGAATGGGAGAAACTCCCTAAATACAAGTGTGCCAAGCTTGTAGCGTAATACCCAAGAAGACTTGCGGCTGTAATCGCTGCCAAAGTTGCTTCAACAAAGTTCTGAGTGAAGGGTCTGAATACTTACGTAAATGTGATATTTCCGTTTTTTATTTGTAATAAATTTGCAAACATTTCTAAAAACCTGTTTTGCTTTGTCATTATGGAGTATTGTGTGTAGATTGATGAGGGGAAAAAAACGATTTTATCCATTTAAGAATAAGGCTGTCACGGGGTCTGAATACTTTCCGAATGCACTATATACTGTATATGGAGACTTTAGTGCCAAAAATAAGGGGTTGTATATATATCCACACTACCAGTCAAAAGTTTGGGCACACCTACTCATTCCAGGATTTTTCTTTATTTTTACATTGTAGAATAATAGTGAAGACATCAAAACTATGAAATAACACATATGGAATCATGTAGTAACCCAAAAAGTGTTAAACAAATCAAAATATATTTGAGATTCTTCAAATAGCAACCCTTTGCCTTGATGACAGCTTTGCACACTCTTGGCATTCTCTCAACCAGCTTCATGAGGTAGTCACCTGGAATGCATTTCAATTAACAGGTGTGCCTTCTTAAAAGTGAATTTGTGGAATTTCTTTCCTTCTTAATGTGTTTGAGCCAATCAGTTGTGTTGTGACAAGGTAGGGAGGGTACCTCCAGGCTGTGCAAGGGCTTTTTACCAAGAAGGAGAGTGATGGAGTGCTGCATCAGATGACCTGGCCTCCATAATCCACCAACCTCAACCCAATTGAGATGGTTTGGGATGAGCCGAACAGCAGAGTGAAGGAAAAGCAGCCAACAAGTGCCCAGCATATGTGGGAACTCCTTCAAGACTGTTGGAAAAGCATTCCAGGTGAAGCTGGTTGAGAGAATGCCAAGTGTGCAAAGCTGTAATCAAGGCAAAGGGCGGTTACTTTGAAGAATCTCAAATATATTTTGATTTGTTTATTTCATAGTTTTGATGTCTAAAAATGGGACACAGAAAATACAAAACAAACACACACACACCTGTCTGCAGCTGTTTGACCACCTGCGGCTGTCCCATGATGATGCGACTGTGGTGCTGGCCTTGCAGCGTAACCATGGGTGACTGGGCCAGAGTCACCTGAGGCCTCGCCATTGCCCCCTGCTGTTGAGGAACCATCTACAGAGAGAGAGAGACCAAAGAGAGAGAGCCAAAGAGAAAGAGACGAGAGACCAACCAGAGAGGCCAGAGAAAGAGACCAGAGAGAGAGAGAGAAAGAGAGGCCAGAGAGAGACAGAGCCCAGAGAGAGAGAGATACCAGAGAGAGAGGCCAGAGAGAGACCAGAGAGAGAGACACCAGAGAGAGAGAGGGAGAGGCCAGAGAGAGGCCAGAAAGAGAGGCCAGAGATGGAGAGAGAGAGAGGCCAGAGAGAGAGAGGCCAGAGAGAGAGAGGGGCCAGACAGTGAGAGAGACCAGAGAGAGGCCAGAAAGTGAGAGACCAGAGAGAGAGCCAGAGAGACCACAGAGAGGCCAGAGAGCCAAGAGAGAGACCAGAGAGAGCCCAGAGTGAAAAAGACAGAGTGAGAGAGAGCCCAGAGACCAGAGAGAGAGAGACCAGAGAGAGAGAGACAGAGAGAGACCAGAGAGAGAGAGAAAACAGAAAGAGAGAAAGCGAGAGAGGCCAGAGGAAGAAAGAGAGCAGACCTGAACCTTACTGTGCAGGCTCGGGTATTTCCTTTTCACATTGTCCTTTCCAGTATGGTTTCAGCAACTATGGTGGCTGCGTAACCAGGCCAGCCGACTGCAGCTCGGCTTGGCCAAGTAGCGTGAAAAGGGTGATACACTTGGGGTCATCCCTCAACATAACATACAGTCATATAGACTTCATATGACATTAAAACAACAAGGCACCCCGCCTATACAATAGGGGAAACACACAGTGGAGTATCATTAGGATATAGTATACCAGGCCAGGCTTGCTATGAGGCGTCTGGGCCAGGCTGATGACAGGAGACTGGTGCATGGTCCCTTTGGCCCCAGGGCTGCTGCTGTTGAGAGGGGATCTCTGTGCGGCAGCCATGCCCCCCAGCACCACAGCAGTCAAGGCCTTGGAGGAGGCGACAGGCTGGGCGCTAGCCTGAGGCAGCTGGCTCTGCTGGATGAAGGCTGCCGAGTCTGGGGTCATTTGACGCAGTGCAGGAAGACTCCTCTGGAGATGGGGAGGAAGAACACAATTCATTCTCTCATCTACAGTATATTGCATCGTTGGCCACTTGAATTTGTTTGTGTGTATAGCTACAGATGAAGTCGGAAATTTACATACACTTAGGTTGGAGTCATTAAAACCCGTTTTTCAACCACTCCACAATTTTCTTGTTAACAAACTATAGTTTTGTCAAGTCGGTTAGGACATCTACTTTGTGCATGACACAAGTAATTTTTACAACAATTGTTTACAGACAGATTATTTCACTTATAATTCACTGTATCACAATTTCAGTGGGTCAGAAGTTTACATACACTAAATTGACTGTGCCTTTAAACAGCTTGGAAAATTCCAGAAAATGATGTCATGGCTTTAGAAGCTTCTGATAAGCTAATTGATATAATTTGAGTCAAATGGAGGTGTACCTGTGGATGTATTTCAAGGCCTACCTTCAAACTCAGTGCCTCATTGCTTGACATCATGGGAAAATCAAAAGAAATCAGCCAAGACCTCAGAAAAAGAATTGTAGACCTCCACAAGTCTGGTTCATCCTTGGGAGCAATTTCCAAACGCCTGAAGGTACCACGTTCATCTGTACAAACAATAGTACGCAAGTATAAACACCATGGGACCGCGCAGCCGTCATACCGCTCAGGAAGGAGACGCGTTCTGTCTCCTAGAGATTAACGTACTTTGGTGCGAAAAGTGCAAATCAATCCCAGAACAACAGCAAAAGGACCTTGTGAAGATGGTGGAGGAAACAGGTACAAAAGTATCTATGTCCACAGTAAAACGAGTCCTATATCGACATAACCTGAAATGTCGCTATATTTGAGAAATGTCCTCTGATCTGATGGAACAAAAATATAACTGTTTGGCCATAATGACAGCGAGTCATCCACCTTCGGAGATTTGAAACCACTCTTAAGGTACTGGAAGGATAAAGTATCCCACCCAACCCCCCCGACCCAATGTAAGTGGTATCCACTGCTTGGGTGAGCACCCATTTGTGAGTGCTTGGCTAAGAGGCTGCAATGAGTAATGTGCTTGAGAGGCACTTAACCCTAATTGCTCCTGTAAGTCGCTCTGGTTAAGAGCGTCTGCTAAATGACTAAAATGTAAAATGTAAAATAATGACCATCGTTATGTTTGGAGGAAAAAGGGGGTTCTTGCAAGCCGAAGAACACCATCCCAACCGTGAAGCACGGGGATGGCAGCATCATGCTGTGGGGGTGCTTTGCTGCAGGAGGGACTGGTGCATTTCACAAAATAGATGGCATCATGAGGAAGGAAAATGATGTGGATATATTGAAGCAACATCTCAAGACATCAGTCAGGAAGTTAAAGCTTGGTTGCAAATGGGTCTTCCAAATGGACAATGACCCCAAGCATGCTTCCAAAGTTGTGGCAAAATGGCTTAAGGACAACAAAGTCAAGGTATTGGAGTGGCCATCACAAAGCCCTGACCTCAATCCTATTGAAGATGTGTGGGCAGAACTGAAAAAGCGTGTGCGAGCAAGGAGGCCTACAAACCTGACTCAGTTACACCAGCTCTGTCAGGAGGAATGGGCCAAAATTCACCCAACATATTGTGAGAAGCTTGTGGAAGGCTACCCGAAACGTTTGACCCAAGTTAAACAATTTAAAGGCAATGCTACCAAATACTAATTGAATGTATGTAAACTTCTGACCTACTGGGAACGTGATGAAAGAAATAAAAGCTGAAATAAATAATTCTCTCTACTATTATTCTGACATTTCACATTCTTAAAATAAAGTGGTGATCCTAACTGACAGGAAATCTTTACTAGGATTAAATGTCAGGAATTGTGAAAAACTGAGTTTAAATGTATTTGGCTAAGGTGTATGTATGTAAACTTCCGACTTCAACTGTAGCTACATTAGAAGGGAAAAGCCATCAGTCTCACCTTGAGGAAAGGCACAAGATATGGCTGAGGAGAGGAGTTGAGCTCCCGGTATAACCGACTGGTGAAGTCCTCCGCTTCGATCTTACCCTCCTGCGGTGGTAGAAAAACAGACAATGTAGAAAGACAGAGTGAGAAAAATAGTGAGAGTGAGTGCAAGAGACAGAGAGATAGACACATACGGCCAGACAGATGACCAGACAGGCGTACCAGCAGGCTCTTGACTAACTCCTTGACGTTGGCTGTGGTCTCAGGCGACTGCTTCCCGCTAGATGCCAGCTTGATCAGCGTGGACAGGAAGTTCTTACACTTCTTCACGTTCTCCAGGATCTCCTACACACACAAATACACAAGTTAGGACCACTGCATGACTATTTAGGAGTAGACAAATGCTGGAAGGAGGGAGTAGATGAGTGTTGTCTGACCGTGGTAGAAGCGACTATGGGGGTGCCTGGTGTCCCAGTAGTTCCAGGGGTCCCTGCTCTCTGGGTGACTGCTGCCGAGCCAGGCTGCACTGGGGCCTGACCTGGGGTGGCAGCCACCCCACCCAGCATAATGGTGTTCTATAGGAGATGGGTCAGAGGAAGCAGGGTATGAAAGGAGACTAAGGGGGGAGATTGAAGAGAATGGAAGAGAATAGGGGGATGAGTTGTGTACCTACCTGCTGTAGTACAGGAGGCCTCTGGAGGGTAGTGGTGGCCTGGACAGCAGTCTGGGCCGGGGAGCCCTGCTTAGTGATGGTGGTGGGGGTCACTTGACGGGCCATCATGGGCATCCCTGGAGCCTGCAGGACAGAGGAGAGGACAAGGGTTCAGGATGTCACACTGTGATCTCTCCATCACTGTAGGTAAGAGATGATTTGTGTGTGTGTGTGTGTGTGTGTGTACCTGTACAGAGGTGATCTGGACAGGGGGAGTGCTGGTGGGGGTGGCTGCCCGTGGGGTCATGGCGCTCTGGGACTGGGACTGGGCCTGCATCTGGGCCAGGGTCTGCTGGTGGATCATCAAAAGTTGCCCACTCTCACTGCGCACCAGCACCATGCCTGCACAGGGCATGGAGGAGTCAGGGGTAAGAAGTCAAACAGGGGTCATAGATCAACAGACAGACACTTACTGGCTAAATACAAATACATATCTTATTAATAACTATGGAACACTTTGTTTGGTTAGAAAATACAGTGTTAGCCACTCTTCGCAGAAAAGTGACAATAAAAAAGCACTTATCACAACAACAAAAAAAAAACGTTCAGCTCTCAGTGGAGAGCTTAACTAGAGCTAGCATTGTTAGACAGAACCTGTGAGACATGCAACTCCCACAGAAAATTTGACACGTGCATGAAACTACGTTACATGATGCGCTATGGTGTCAGCGTGCCTATTGATAATCGATCCATGGTGTGCCAGGGTAGCCTGTGTGTGATTTTACAGGCGACACAAGTAGGCAGAATCAATAGAACGTTCCCACAGGTCAGTGTGCTCGTGGAGCATAAACAACTGACAGCAAAACACACACGCACATGCACAGGGAGTTTTGTCTGATAAACGAAAGGTGCAGCAGCGATGTCAACTGTAGCTGATACAACATAGCGAATGTTAACTACAAGTTTGCAAAAAAGTTTCTGTTTCACAGAGAGTGTTGAAAATAAACACTATGCTGCCAGCAAGCTACATTGTATCCTCTCTCGACTCACTGTGGCTAACTGACATAGGGTGAAGTCAGCGTTAGTGGGACACTTTTTGGTAGATCGCTATGTAGACAATCAAAATCAGTGTACCCCTACTCAAGTGATGTTTATTTCAATTAATTCAGGTGCTACAACCCCTAAAACAACATCAGATCCCTACTTTTGATGAAGTGTCTTTCAATGCTAGTGGGACACTTAAGTAGATGAAGTGGGACACTATTTTCTCATTAAGAACACAGCGTCCCACTTCACCTGACACTTGTTGTGAAATCATCAATAATACTTTGTAGAGGCTTATAGATAACACACCATCTGTAAAAAAAAAAAGAAAAAAAGACAGCCAACTAGACCCTCTCAATGTCCTTGGAAAATGTATTTGGGGACATTCCAAGCTCTTGATGAAAATCTAACTAACAGAGTCTTCAAAGCTTTTACTTGATCCTGAAACCCCTCTATTGCCCCACCAAACGATGTCCCCTTTCATAAATCATGCCTCTTCTATCCTCCCTTTCTTACTTGTCATTGGCCTTTCTTTCCTTTCCTACTCTTGCCATTTCCCACTAATTCCATCCACCGTCATCCTATGCTGTTTATGTGCTAAATAGCATCTAGAAACGATTTACAGATGTTAGAAACAACTAAAAGAACATATTTCAATGTATTTTAGAATATCTAATGAAAGAATTCACATTTAAATTGATTAAAAGTTTATTTTGTGTATTTTAATAGCCGTAAAGGTCCCTGTCCCACTATTCAAACACCATTCAGGGTAAGTGGGACACCACTATAATCAGATTTTCATAAATATTATTACTATTTACATAAATGGTTATTATATTTCAAAACACTACCAATAACTATTCATTTTAACATGAAAAGCTAGATTGTTTAATTATAATTTACAGAATGACAGCCTTATCATTATAGTGCAATGTTTCCTATGTATGCCGGTTTTTCATGAGTTTCAACAAGTCACTCCATCTAAGAAACCTGACCACACACACTACAATGATGTCACACTCACCAAAACCATTTTTTCATGCACAGAACACATTCAGCAACAACCAAATAACATGTGTTGTGATTGGGCTGCAAAATTATAGTACAGTTAGACAGTACCCTCAAAAAAATGTCCCACTAATGCAGACTTCTCCCTAACTGGCTACTGTACCACGTCAAAACATGCCACATGCTTCAATGAATCAGCTATACAATGTCACCTGAGAATGAAAGTTACCTGGAGGGAGCTGAATGTTTTGGATGTTTGAAGCATTCTGTTGGGGTTGCGGAAGTCTCGGGGAGAACACCTGTGGCACGATCGCCTTTATCCCGCCAGGACTGCCTGCAATAGTCGATGGGATGGAGGTCCTCACATTTTGTAAAACCAGACTTTTTCCTACAACACTGGGGGCGGCGACTTGTGAAGTCGTTTGTATGGTCGTTTTTGGCAACTCCAACTTGTTGATTTGAGCTCCTGAACTTGCAGGGTGGGCAACGTCGACAGATGGTATCAGAACGGTATTATTACTCCCGCTCTGCGAGGTGACTGTTCCGGGTGTTTGCATAGGCGGCCTCACGAGCGTGACAGTGGGCACACCGTTTAGAACAGACAGCTGAGACGATATCACAGGTGAAGTGACAGCATTGTGCATAACAGGTGTTTGAATAACAGTGCTGGAAGTTGAGGGTAAGTTTGTGTTTCCTTTGACCACGGAGCTCGGTCCGTTGTTGACAACCGCGACGGCGGCCACTGTGCTGCCTGCTGAGCACCCCAAAGCGGCAACACTTCCTGAATTATGAGAGTTTATCACAACGCTACTTCCATTTAAAGTTTGTACACCAGCCGCCCCAGTTTTTCTGATCCCTACCCCGTGATCGGGAACCACCGTTACCACACCACTGACTGTCCCAGTCTTGCTCGGACTGTGCCCGGCTGTCATGCTCGAGCCCGCCGCCGTCGTCCCGATCGCTGCATACATGGTTGAACCCTGGGACCTCCTACTATTAATGACACCCCCTTGCACGCCAGTCCCTACAGGAGAGGAAACACATGAGAGGGATGGAAATATCGAATATCTATCAATTGAAAATATGCAGCTGTATAAGCAGGAGTTGTCAAATTGTGTGGCTAAAAGAGACGAAAACAGAAAAACAACGTGACCAAAATTAGCTAACCAGTCAGCTATCTTACCTGGTTTAGCAAGCTCTTGTGAAAGTCCCATTTTGCTGTCCTGGACATTGGAATTGCGACCTACAGCGGAGTTGTCAATGTGATTTGCTGCAGACTGGACCCTGACCGAAGAATTTCCACGACCCGATCCCGTGAGCTCAGACTCCAAAGATCCAACTAGATCACTAACTACTTTCTCGTCCACCTCTGTGTTGAAAAAAACATCATCCAGTAAATCGGAGCCCGCCGCCATCTTCACTCTGCTACACAGCTAGTGAGACGCATGCGCCGATTGGATACGCCGTCACTGACATCGGATTCCGGGGTGCGCTGATTGGTTATTGCTAGATTTACAGTTTGGGATGAATTGTTACAAATTGCATTTAAGGAATGCCAGCCGGATGTGATAGCACGGGCGAAAAATTGGGACAACAGTACAGACAGGATTGCATTGGGTAGTTGTACGGCTGGCGTTGCAAATGGAAACGAACCACACGATACGTCGATTATGTTGCCGACTGTACTTATTTTGAATTATTATAGAGGAAATAGAGTGGATTTCTTTGAGCTTTTGAGTTTTTATTCTCGACTCAAAATGGCTGCGTTGTTTTTCAGGCGGTCTGTCCTACAGCTGCTGTTACCGCCCGCACGGGGGCGCGTAATGTGTGCTCGCTGCTGACTGTCAGAACTAGACAGCCAGCTTCGTGCCCACTGACTGACACTGACACCAATGCAGGACAATAAAGCATCTGAAATGTATTTTGTTTTACTGCGTACATGTATGTACCAGTAGCCTATTCATACGTAAGAGATTGATGTACCATGTGATATTTTAACTTTCACTGGGTATGCCAATTTGTAAGTCGCTCTGGATAAGAGCGTCTGCTAAATTACGTAAACGTATGCTGGTGCTATTGAATAATGCGCTCGAGAGAGAATTTGTAGGCTAAATGCAATTTTAATAATTAATAAAAACATCTATAGGCCTATACAATTATTATATATTATTTTGTTTCAGTCATAGTGTATATTTGTTTGGATTAGCCTATTGACATTTAGCCTAGTTTATAGGCTACAATAAATCCTATAGAATGGAATTGCATGAACTCGGAATAGCATATTTCCAGCGACACTTAGCCAATATTCCTTGGCTATATGCCATCAATAACTGTTACATACAGAGTATAGTTGATGAAGTTCCAATTAACTTGTAGCTATCACTTTTTTCAGAACATGCAATCCAACCATGACTCCTTGAGGCACAGGTGCACCTGTAAATGAGAAGGCGTGGCTCACCTTGGTGTGATGGTCCATAAATTCCCTCTCATGAGCCGCATGTTGTCTTGCTGTCATGTGAATCAAAAAATTTTTAAACAACGCAGAGATTAGGCTTCTTGACGATTACTTGTTGCCATCAGTTCACCCGCTACCATGAGCGTCGGGACTCCTTATATCGGCAGTAAAATCGGCTTGATTTCCAAAGCTCTAAATCGGTATGAGGGCATCTTATACACCATTGATACCGTGAATTCAACGGTGGTGTTGACAAAAGGTAAATTATGTGAGCGGCCAAAGAGACGCATATTCACTCTCAGACAGCAGTAGTAGTCAAAGAAGACATGTTTGCTCCTAAAATAAGTCATTGTGATCACATGTGGCACTACAAATAGATGTTGGAGCCCATACTTCACACAGGGACAATGTGGGCTGTGAAAGTAACGTTTCTAGTTTGGTCATTTAGGTCTACTGTTATTGTATTTTACCGGATAGTTTATTTGGTTTGTGTCCAGTTATGTCAATGGATTGCATAGTGAAAACATAACATCTGATTTGGCCTGTCAATTAACTTCCATGATTTCTCTTGTTCATGTGCAGTGAAGTCATTTGGATCAGAGGGCCGACTCACAGACAGGCCAACCCCTCCCAAAGATGACGTCTATGAGTACATCATATTCAGGGGAAGTGATATCAAAGATATCTCATTGTGTGAGCCTCCAAAATCTCACCATGGCCTGCCCCAGGACACTGCCATAGTGCAGGTAGGCAGACAGGCTATGCCTAGCTCGCAAACTCTAGGCGGCATTCGGTCTTCTCCCTACTGTTCTCAGCCATTAGATTTGCCCAAGACTGCCTAGTGTGAACTACGATACTGACGCTGTGTTTTAGCGTTTAGAAACGTCAATCATCACTTGCGATACTGCTTTTGAAACATATGGCCATTTCATCAGGGAGAAAGAGTCGTTTAAATAATAAAGAGAGACTTACTGTAGCAGTTTTGCACAGATCAATACAGTGTTGCCAACTCCTCAGTAAGGAAAGTAGCTATTGGCTGTCCTAAAATACGCTAAATGACGTCATCACCTAATTTGCGTAATTGGCCATGTACATGTAATTGTACGCTGTAGGAGAGAGGAAAGCCAGGGCGGGATCAGCCAGCGGCGGCTTCCCGCATGCGCAATTCATTTGCAGTCTGGACGCGGAGGGGTGAACATCTCCTGCTCTGACTGCATCGAGAGGACAGGGCCGCCTGTGAGTGCTTTGGGACCGGAGTAACAAAGCACCCGCTGCTCGTTGAGAAGATTAAGAACAATACGTGCTTTCATGTCGGACTCTCCAATAACACCAGAAAAAGTCGCTAGATTTGTCGCATTTTTTAAAATGTGTCGCTAGAGGGGTCTGAAAACTCGCTAAATATAGCGACAAAGTCGCTAAGTTGGCAACACTTGCAGCTATGGGTGCCTCATCCAACAAAACTACACTTCCGCTACATTTCCAGAGTTGGCTTACACAGGCGTTTGGAGCATGCTAGATAGCTAATTAGCACAGGTGGTCGCTTGTCTTCCATCTGTTTTCCGTAACATGGAGATATGGCCTTGTGTGAACACTAACCCTAAGGTGTTTATCAATTTAACCTTTTTACTTTTTCAAATGTATTTCTCGGTGTCGTGTAATGAAAGATAATTGCCGTCTGCTTCCCGGACTGTACCGCAAACGACACGTGTTAATGTTTAGATTGAGCATCCGGGTATTAACAAAACTCCCCACTACAGAAGACGCCTTCGTCCAATGACTTGTGTAATGTAATTGAGTCATGATCAAGTGCTAGGCTATGCCATGAGGCCGTCCATGTATCAGTGTTTCGAGTAAATTATTTATCAATTTGCTGTATTCTTTCCTCGTTTTTTTTTTTTTTTGGGGGGGGGGTTCAGTCATCACTCAGCACATCAGCGTCCTCCTATAATCCAACTCCAGGACCAATCAGTCCCTACAGGATCCCATCTTATAACCAGCTAGCAGCCAACTATCTGCTCAACCAGCAGTATGCTGCAGCCCTTGGTCTGGGTGAGTCAGTGAATAACAGACAGGGAACTGTTGGGAATGATTCAAATTGCAACACTATTCATTTGAATGATAAAATCCATTATCGGGTGCTTGCTTCCAATGATGATATACAACCTCTCTCTTGGACCTGTTCATTCCTGGTCTCCTCAGGTGGAACTCCAGGCCCTCAAGTGAGAAGGGGTCCTATGGTGGAGCAGGCTGTCCAGACTGTGCCTCTAGATGAGCCAGGGCAGAAGAAAGGCCAGAGTGTGTCTCAGGAGCAGCGCAGGGAGACCAGTAGGCCCATGCAGCGAGCTGCACGAGTGAGCCCACAGCCCCAGAGACGCTCTGGACTAGGCAGTAAGCAGACTGGGGGCAAGCTGGGATGGGCTGATTGGGGGGCTCGGTATTTACTTTATCCATGTAGAATATGAAAAATAAAAGGACCTGAATGTGTGTTATTCAGCTTTTGCATCGTAGAAGATGCACTACTTCCCATAGTATGTCAGGCATAATGCCTGATTTTGAATTTTTAAACTAATGTAATTTCACTTGTTTGCTCTGGTTAAGTTGTAGACGTAATAAAAAATTACCCATGTGCAAAAACATACATTCATACTGTAAAACTGAAGGCCAATACTGTATGACTATGTAATGTGATTGACAACTTGTTTTCTACGATCAGGTGGGTCCGATGTACAGCGTCAGCGTACAACTTCCCAATCCCAGAACAATGATGAGAACAGGCCACCACCAAGGAGGAAACAAGGTAATCCCCCACTGTAATGGGTGTCTTTTTAGCTCTTGGGTCAGGGACAAATGTCATTTGCTTTAGATGGTTGTATAGTAAACCCTTTGGTTGTAGAATTTCTCATACCTTAGAATGAATGACTTATCAAATTCTTTCCATTTTGTCCTGCAGGAGCTCGTAGGCCCAGGAATCGTAATCAGGGCCAGCTCCTTGTGAAGAGCTCCAAGCCTAGCACACTCAAGTTTGAATCAGACTTTGACTTTGATTCTGCAAACGCCCAGTTCAACAAGGAAGAGCTGGAGAGGGAGATGCAGGACAAGTTGAACATCAAAGGTTGGTTGCATTAAAATAACCACAGGTCCGTCACCATGTGACAAATGGGCCTCTGTGCTTTGTACTGTAGTTGCAGGAACGCGGCAATTCGATCATGATTTGGCCATCACTGATTGGGGAAATTACTGCAAAAGGGAACTTCTATCTCTGGTGGAAATGTATCCTTTAATTTTTGTCTGGTATCATCTGCAAGCTTTTCAGAACCATGGTTAGTCATTGTTCATCCATGCTTGCATTTTTACTAGAAACAAAGGATGAAGGGAAGGTGAAACCAGGAGTAGAAACTGGTGAGAAGACAGTGGAGAGGGATCCATTTGGGCCCAAGTGCTACTATGACAAGGCCAAATCCTTCTTTGACAACATCTCGTCAGACCATAAATCCAGGTGAATTTATATTTATTTTGTAAATGTGCTCTAAAAGTGACTAACCTATCTATTATGCTGTCTGAGTCAATTTCATGTCACAAAATGCTTTCGAAGATCTGACTACGTAGTCTCTGTGCTTGTTTAATCATGTTACACTATGACCCAGACGCACTACCTGGGCAGAGGAGAGGAAGCTGAATGTTGAGACCTTTGGGGTTCCTGGCCGCTTCCTGAGGTTCCGTGGGGGCTACCGCAGCCGGAGAGGGCTAGGGTCAGCACAGCGCCGGCCCTCCCAGCGAGCTGGGACTGGGAGGCTGTGAGGGTCAAGTGAGTAAGGACGTGCGTGTTTATTCAAAAGCCTGGGTACAGTGGGGAAAATAGTATTTAGTCAGCCACCAATTGTGCAAGTTCTCCCACTTAAAAAGATGAGAGGCCTGTAATTTTCATCATAGGTACACGTCAACTATGACAGACAAAATGAGAGAGAAAAAATCCAGAAAATCATTGTAGGATTTTTAATAAATGTATTTGCAAATTATGGTGGAAAATAAGTATTTGGTCAATAACAAAAGTTTCTCAATACTTTGTTATATACCTTTTGTTGGCAATGACACAGGTCAAACGTTTTCTGTAAGTCTTCACAAGGTTTTCACACACTGTTGCTGGTATTTTGGCCCATTCCTCCATGCAGATCTCCTCTAGAGCAGTGATGTTTTGGGGCTGTCGCTGGGCAACACGGACTTTCAACTCCCTCCAAAGATTTTCTATGGGGTTGAGATCTGGAGACTGGCTAGGCCACTCCAGGACCTTGAAATGCTTCTTACGAAGCCACTCCTTCGTTGCCCGGGCGGTGTGTTTGGGATCATTGTCATGCTGAAAGACCCAGCCACGTTTAATCTTCAATGCCCTTGCTGATGGAAGGAGGTTTTCACTCAAAATCTCACGATACATGGCCCCATTCATTCTTTCCTTTACACGGATCAGTCGTCCTGGTCCCTTTGCAGAAAAACAGCCCTAAAGCATGATGTTTCCACCCCCATGCTTCACAGTAGGTATGGTGTTCTTTGGATGCAACTCAGCATTCTTTGTCCTCCAAACACGACGAGTTGAGTTTTTACCAAAAAGTTCTATTTTGGTGTCATCTGACCATATGACATTCTCCCAATCCTCTTCTGGATCATCCAAATGCACTCTAGCAAACTTCAGACGGGCCTGGACATGTACTGGCTTAAGCAGGGGGACACGTCTGGCACTGCAGGATTTGAGTCCCTGGCGGCGTAGTGTGTTACTGATGGTAGGCTTTGTTACTTTGGTCCCAGCTCTCTGCAGGTCATTCACTAGGTCCCCCTGTGTGGTTCTGGGATTTTTGCTCACCGTTCTTGTGGTCATTTTGACCCCACGGGGTGAGAACTTGCGTGGAGCCCCAGATCGAGGGAGATTATCAGTGGTCTTGTATGTCTTCCATTTCCTAATAATTGCTCCCACAGTTGATTTCTTCAAACCAAGCTGCTTACCTATTGCAGATTCAGTCTTCCCAGCCTGGTGCAGGTCTACAATTTTGTTTCTGGTGTCCTTTGACAGCTCTTTGGTCTTGGCCATAGTGGAGTTTGGAGTGTGACTGTTTGAGGTTGTGGACAGGTGTCTTTTATACTGATAAGTTCAAACAGGTGCCATTAATACAGGTAACGAGTGGAGGACAGAGGAGCCTCTTAAAGAAGTTACAGGTCTGTGAGAGCCAGAAATCTTGCTTGTTTGTAGGTGACCAAATACTTGTTTTCCACCATAATTTGCAAATAAATTCATAAAAAATCCTACAATGTGATTTTCTGGAGAAAAAAAATCTCAATTTGTCTGTCATAGTTGACTTGTACCTGTGATGAAAATTACAGGCCTCTCATCTTTTTAAGTGGGAGAATTTGCACAATTGGTGGCTGACTAAAAACTTTTTTTCCCCCACTGTATATATTGCTTGCGACTGCGTCTATCCAGGCAAGGCTAGTAATGTTGTTGTTTTTTTACCCCACAGGCCTCGTTTGAAGCTTGGGTTACCTTGTGCTTGAGTTGCCACGACGTGTTTGTGTATGTACATTTGTTTTTGTAGTTAAATATAACATTTTGCAGTCCATTATTTTTCTCTACCAACATGAAGTGTTTTGAAATGAAGAAACATTGAGAATAAGTATAGAGAAGCTAAATGCATTGCTGTTTCTTTATTTTCTTTGCGCCTAAGGTACATTTTGGCTTTTGCATTTGAATTTGCCTGTGCTTTTCATCCTTTTCTGTATTCTGATAAATGGATGACATGCAAACTTTCTAAACTATTCAAGGAATCAATTTGAAGATTAAATTGGTGAGGGGAAAATAGTTAAAGGTATTGTTAATATTACTTAATATAATTATATATAACTTAATTAAAACAGAGCAAATGTCTGCCATAAATATTGAATTCCCATGTATTGGTTTGTTTTCTATCATTTTGAGAATAAGTGTTCAATTGTTTAAAATCTAATAAACATGGGAAAAGGCTTATTTTCTTGTTCATGTTCTGTGTTCAATGATAGTAGGTGGAAGTTGTAGTTTTTAAATGCAGATATTTATTCATTACAAGAATAAGGTAAAATCTTAAGTTTTCATGTGATCCATTAGGGCAGCAGTGTTTCTCAATCCATTCCATTGGGACTCCCAGGGTGGGAGCATTTGTTTGAGCTCAACACTCAGTACCTTGTGAGCGCTGGAGAGTCTACCCATCACTACCATAGCCTGTCTGATTCAACCAAACAAGAGCCTGCTGATTAGTCAAATCAGGTGTTTGTGCTGGGCTAGAATAAAAATATGCAATCCTTGGGGGTCCCTCCAGCAATGGATAGAGAAACGAAGAGATTCCTGATGCAATATTGAAGATGGACAAAGGCACATGTTTGTTTAATCATGACTGGTCAATCAAAAAGGGTTCATGTTTTCTTCTTTTGTTTCTCTGCTTTCTCCTTTTCTGTTTCAATAGCTGTGACATATTCCTCGATTTCCTCTTGGACCAGAATCTATTTACAGTGGAAAATAAGTTATTAGGGGAACATTTTAAGTTGCATTATTACACAGGTGAGAGCCTCTGGTGGATTTGCTGAGGTGTCACGATTTCAAACAGACCTTCATTGATTCATCCCGCTTCATAATGGCTAGCTCAATGTTCTTTCCCCCTGACTGGACAACCTGCGAACACGGGGAGCAAACCTTGTGACGGAGGAATATCTTTGCTTTGCTTTCCAATCACTACATTGTTGCCATCAAATGTTAGCTCTAGAGTGGTGTAAGCCTCACCTCAAGTAGCGCTCTGATGGCAAGCTTAATGGTGTCTGTATCGGACTCCATATCTTCCTCTTTATAGTTTTTCTCTAGAAACTCCCGAACAGTCTTGGCAGATCTTCCAATGGCATTTGCCTATGTACACAAATACATTTTGTTTTCCACATTTTGAAGCATCTTATCAACGATTCAGATGTATGGGTCAGAAAAACACCCCTACCTTCCAGGCATGGTATGTTCCTGAGGGGTCTGTTTGGTACAGATGGGGTGTTCCATCGAAATCAAACCCCACAATGAGGGAGGAGATGCCAAAGGGCCTTCGTCCATTGCTTTGGGTGTAGCGCTGAAAGTCGGAATATATAGAAGTGATGTATCCGCATGTGTGTATTTTGTGTGTGTGTGTGTGAGGTACCTGTTTTATGCTGGAGATGTAGCGTGTGATGTACTCTACTGTCGCAGGGTCTTCCACTGTGAGCCTGTGACTCTGACACTCCACCCTGGCCCTGTTAACAATGATCCTGGCATCTGCGGTCAATCCTGCAGGCCATTTGATAAGGAGAAAGTATGTCACACCAATTAAAAACCTCACCCAACTAGGTGAAAAATCGAATTGCTCAATTTCAGCATTAACATTACATTTATCATTCATAGTAGGCCTATAGTGCCTTCAAAGTATTTGCACCCCTCGACTTTTTCCACTTTTTGTGCTACAAGGTGGGATTAAAATGGATTTAATGTACATTTTGTCAACTATCTACACAAAATACTAATGTCAGTGGAAGAAAAAATTCACATTTTAAAATCTTTTGGTATTCTTGATTAGATAAGTATTCAACCCCCTGAGTCAATCCATGTTAAAATCACATTTGGCAGCAAATACAGCTGCAAGTCTTTCAGGGTACATCTAAGAGTTTTCCACACCTGGATTGTGCAACATTTGTCTGTTTTTTTCATTGATTGTTGATCATTGCTAGACAACCATTTTCAGGTCTTGCAATAGATTTAAGTAGATTTAAGTCAACTAACTCAGCCACTCAGGAACATTCACTGTCGTCTTGGTAAGCAACTCCAGTGAAGATTTGGCCTTGTGTTTTCGGTTATTGTCCTGCTGAAAGATGAATTCATCTCCCAGTATCTGGTGGAAAGAGGACTGAACCATGTTTTCCTCTAGGAATTTGCTTATGCTTGGCTCCATTCTGTTTATTTTTTATCCTAAAAAACTCCCCATTCCTTAACGATTACAAACATACCCATAACATGATGCAGCCACCACTATGTTTGAAAATATGGGGAGTGGCACTCCGGAATGCATTGGATTTGCTCCGAAACATAACACTTTGTATTCAGGACGAAAAGTTAATTCCTTTCCCACCATTTTTGCAGTATTACTTTAGTGCCTTGTTGCAAACAGGATGCATGTTTTGGAATATTTTTATTCTGTACAGGCGTCCTTCTCACTGTCAATTAGGTTAGTATTGTGAAGTAACTACAATGTGACATCCCTGAGCGGTTTCCTTCCTTTCTGGCAACTGAGTTAAGAAGGACGCCTATATCTTTGTAGAAGCTGGGTGTATTGATACACCATCCAAAGTGTAATTAATAACTTCACCATGCTCAAAGGGATATTCAAATGTCTGTATTTTCATTTTTTTTACCCATCTACCAATAAGTGCCCTTCTTTGCGAGGCATTGGAAAACATCCCTGGTCGTTGTGGTTCACTGCTTGACTGAGAGACCTTACAGATAATTCTATGTGTGGGGCACAGAGATGAGGTAGACATTCAAAAATCACGTTAAACACTTATTGCACATAGAGTCCATGCTACTTATTATGTGACCTGTTAAGTACATTTTTACTCCTGAACTTATTTAGGCTTGCCATAACAAAGGGGTTGAATACTTACTGACAAGACATTTCAGCTTTTCATTTTTTTATTAATTTGTAAAAATGTAAAACATTATTCCACTTTGACATTATGGGATATTGTGTGTAGGCCAGTGCCAAACCTCAATTTAATCCATTTTAAATTCAGGTTGTAACACAAAGTGGGAAAAGTCAAGGGGTGTGAATACTTTCTGAAGGTACTTGTAAAATGTTGATGACAAATTATATCAGACAAACGGTAATTACATATTTGCAATCACCACTTTGGTGTGCACTGTCCTATGTTTAAAAGTTACCTGCAAAGGCCATGAAGACATGGTTGTCCAAGGAGCAGATTTTGCGCACAGTTCTGTCATCTTGGAGCTTGGCAACAGATTTCTTCTCCACTCCTAGAACAACAACATTTTTTCCTCGCACTCCAACCTGTAAAATAATTAAGCATAATTGATACAGTTGCGCCAGTTGGAGCTCAATTTGGGTAGTGCAGTCCAAAACATGTTTTTCCTATTTTTGTTTATGTATATACACAGTTGAAGTCGGAAGTTTACATACACCTTAGCCAAATACATTTAAACTCAGTTTTTCACAATTCCTGACATTTAATCCTCGTAAAAATTCCCTGTCTTAGGTCAGTTAGGATCACCACTTTATTTTTAAGAATGTGAAATGTCAGAATAATAGTAGAGTGATTTATTTCAGCTTTTATGTCTCACGTTCCCAGTGAGTCAGAAGTTTACGTACACTCAATTAGTATTTGGTAACATTGCCCATTCCTCCTGACAGAGCTGGTGTAACTGAGTCAGGTTTGTAGGCCTCCTTGCTTGCACACGCTTTTTCAGTTCTGCCCACAAATTTTCAATAGGATTGAGGGCCTTTGATGGCCACTCCAATACCTTGACTTTGTCGTCCTTAAGCCATTTTGCCACAACTTTGGAAGTATGCTTGGAGTCATTGTCCATTTGGAAGACCCATTTGCGACCAAGCTTTAACTTCCTGACTGATGGGATGGTGTTCTTCGGCTTGCAAGCCTACCCCTTTTACCTCCAAACATAATGATGGTCATTATGGCCAAACAGTTCTATTTTTGTTTCATCAGACCAGAGGATATTTCTCCAAAAAGTATGATCTTTGTCCCCATGTGCAGTTGCAAACTGTAGTCTGGCTTTTTTATGGTGGTTTTGGAGCAGTGGCTTCTTCCTTGCTGAGCGGCCTTTCAGGTTATGTCGATATAGGACTCGTTTTACTGTGGATATAGATACATTTGTACCTGTTTCCTCCAGCATCTTCACAAGGTTCTTTGCTGTTGTTCTGGGATTGATTTTCACTTTTCGCACCAAAGTACGCTAATCTCTAGGAGACAGAACGCGTCTCCTTCCTGAGCGGTATGACAGCTGCATGGTCCCATGGTGTTTATACTTGCGTACTATTGTTTGTACAGATGAACGTGGTACCTTCAGGCGTTTGGAAATTGCTCCCAAGGATGAACCAGACTTGTGGAGGTCTACAATTGTTTTTCTGACGTGATATATATATATATATATATATACAGCTCTGGAAAAAATTAAGAGACCACTGCAAATTGTTCTTAAAGCAGCATCTCTACATGTATGACAGCCATTCCATTCCAGTGTCTGTTGAATTCCAACACAGGCCCACTCATTCTACTGAATTAGGTACTAATTAGGTGATCACCTGAACCAAATCTTATTTAACAAGGAAAAGTATAAAAACCACTGCTGTGGTCATCACTATCCTCTTGCAATAGGACCAGCTGGATGGCAAAAACAGTGCTAATAGTACCTCAAAAGTAATATTAATTTTAAAAAAATAACTATTGACCATGCCAAAAGAGTTGAAAAGGAAAGTTTTGAGTGAGGAAAAGAAGGGTTCAATTCTGGCTTTACTGGCAGAGCGATACAGGTGAGCGTCGGGTTGCTTCCATCCTTAAAATGTCAAAGATGGCGGTTCATAAGAACAAGGTCAAGCAGCAGACATTGGAGACAACAAAGCTACAGACCGGCAGAGGGCGAAAACGACTCTCTACTGACCGGGATCACCGCCAACTCATTCGAATGTCACTCAACAACCGTAGGATGACATCAAGTGACCTACAAAAAGAATGGCAAACGGCAGCTGGGGTGAAGTGCACGGCGAGGATGGTTCGAAACAGGCTCCTAGGGGCAGGGCTGAAGTCGTGCAAAGCTAGAAAAAAGCCCTTTATCAATGAGAAGCAAAGAAAAGCCAGGCTGAGGTTTGCAAAAGACCATAAGGATTGGACTGTAGAGGACTGGAGTAAGGTCATCTTCTCTGATGAGTCCAATTTTCAGCTTTGCCCAACACCTGGTTGGTCGTCTAATGGTTAGACAGAGACCTGGAGAGGGCTACAAGCCACAGTGTCTCGCACCCACTGTGAAATTTGGTGGGGGATCGGTGGTGATCTGGGGGTGCTTTAGCAAGGCTGGAATTGGCCAGATTTGTCTTTGTGAAGGACGCATGAATCAAGCAACGTACAAGGTTGTCCTGGAAGAACTTGCTTCCTTTTGCTCTGACATTGTTCCCCAACTCTGAGGATTGGTTTTTTTTTTTTTCCAGCAGGACAATGCGCCATGCCACACAGCCAGGTCAATCAAGGTGTGGATGGAGGACCACCAGATCAAGACCCTGTCATGGCCAGCCCAATCTCCAGACCTGTACCCCATTGAAAACTTCTGAAATGTGATCAAGAGGAAGATGGATGGTCACAAGCCATCAAACAAAGCCGAGCTGCTTGAATTTTTGCGCCAGGAGTGGCATAAAGTCACCCAACATCAATGTGAAAGACTGGTGGAGAGCATGCCAAGACGCATGAAAGCTGTGATTGAAAATCAGGGTTATTCCAACCAAATATTGATTTCTGAACTCTTCCTAAGTTAAAACATTAGTATTGTGTTGTTTAAAAATGAACATGAACTTATTTTCTTTGCATTATTCGAGGTCTGACAACACTGCATCTTTTTTGTTATTTTGACCAGTTGTCATTTTCTGCAAATAAATACATTTTTATTTGGAATTTGGGAGAAATGCTGTCAGTAGTTTATAGAATAAAACAAAAATGTTAATTTCACCCAAACACATACCTATAAATAGTAAAACCAGAGAGACTTATATTTTTGCAGTGGTCTCTTAATTTTTTCCAGAGCTGTATATACAGTTGAAATCGGAAGTTTACATACACTTAGGTTGGAGTCATTAAAACTCGTTTTTCAACAACTCCACAAATTTCTTGTTAACAAACTATAGTTTTGGCAAGTCGGTTAGGACATCTACTTTGTGCATGACACAAGTAATTTTTCCAACAATTGTTTACAGACAGATTATTTCACTTAGAATTCACTGTATCACAATTCCAGTGGGTCAGAATTTTACATACACTAAATTGACTGTGCCTTTAAACAGCTTGGAAAATTCCAGAAAATGATGTAATGGTTTTAGAAGCTTCTGATAGGCTAATTGACATCATTTGAGTGAATTGGAGGTGTACCTGTGGATGTATTTCAAGGCCTACCTTCAAACGCAGTGCCTCTTTGCTTGACATCATGAGAAAATCAAAAGAAATCAGCCAAGACCTCAGAAAAGAATGTAGACCTCCACAAATCTGGTTCATCCTTGGGAGCAATTTCCAAACGCCTGAAGGTACCACGTTCATCTGTACAAACAATAGTACGCAAGTATAAACACCATGGGACCATGCAGCCATCATACCGCTCAGGAAGGAGACACGTTCTGTCTCCTAGAGATGAACGTACTTTGGTGCGAATAGTGCAAATAAATCCCAGAACAACAGCAAAGGACCTTGTGAAGATGCTGGAGGAAACCGGTACAAAAGTACCTATATCCACAGTAAAACGAGTCCTATATCGACATAACCTGAAAGGCCGCTCAGCAAGGAAGAAGCCACTGCTCCAAAACCACTATAAAAAAGCCGGAATATGGTTTGCAACTGCACATGGGAAAAATATTGTACGTTTTGGAGAAATGTCCTCTGGTCTGATGAAACAAAAATAGAACTGTTTGGCCATAATGACCATCGTTATGTTTGGAGGAAAAAGGGGAATGCTTGCAAGCCGAAGAACACCATCCCAACTGTGAAGCACGGGGGTGGCAGCATCATGCTGTGGGGGTGCTTTGCTGCAGGAGGGTCTGGTGGACTTCACAAAATAAATGGCATCATGAGGAAGGAAAATTATGTGGATATATTGAAGCAACATCTCAAGACATCAGTCAGGAAGTTAAAGCTTGGTCGCAAATGGGTCTTCCAAATGGACAATGACCCCAAGCATACTTCCAAAGTTGTGGCAAAATGGCTTAAGGACAACAAAGTCAAGGTATTGGAGTTGCCATCACAAAGGCCTGACCTCAATCCTACAAACCTACAAACCTGACTCAGTTACACCAGCTCTGTCAGGAGGAATGGGCCAGAATTTACCCAACTTATTGTGGGAAGCTTGTGGAAGGCTACCCGAAACGTTTGACCCAAGTTTAACAATTTAAAGGCAATGCTACCAAATACTAATTGAGTGTATGTAAACTTCTGACCCACTGGGAATGTGATGAAAGAAATAAAAGCTGAAATAAATCATTCTCTCTACTATTATTCTGACATTTCACATTCTTAAAATAAAGTGGTGATCCTAACTGACCTAAGACAGGGAATTTTTACTATGATTAAATGTCAGGAATTGTGAAAAACAGAGTTTAAATGTATTTGGGTAAGGTGTATGTAAACTTCCGACTTCAACTGTATATATACAGTGGGGAAAAAAAGTATTTAGTCAGCCACCAATTGTGCAAGTTCTCCCACTTAAAAAGATGAGAGGCCTGTAATTTTCATCATAGGTACACGTCAACTATGACAGACAAATTGAGAAAAAAAAATCCAGAAAATCACATTGTAGGATTTCTAATGAATTTATTTGCAAATTATGGTGGAAAATAAGTATTTGGTCACCTACAAACAAGCAAGATTTCTGGCTCTCACAGACCTGTAACTTCGTCTTTAAGAGGCTCCTCTGTCCTACACTCGTTACCTGTATTAATGGCACCTGTTTGAACTTGTTATCAGTATAAAAGACACCTGTCCACAACCTCAAACAGTCACACTCCAAACTCCACTATGGCCAAGACCAAAGAGCTGTCAAAGGACACCAGAAACAAAATTGTAGACCTGCACCAGGCTGGGAAGACTGAATCTGCAATAGGTAAGCAGCTTGGTTTGAAGAAATCAACTGTGGGAGCAATTATTAGGAAATGGAAGACATACAAGACCACTGATAATCTCCCTCGATCTGGGGCTCCACGCAAGATCTCACCCCGTGGGGTCAAAATGATCACAAGAACGGTGAGCAAAAATCCCAGAACCACACGGGGGGACCTAGTGAATGACCTGCAGAGAGCTGGGACCAAAGTAACAAAGCCTATCATCAGTAACACACTACGCCGCCAGGGACTCAAATCCTGCAGTGCAAGACGTGTCCCCCTGCTTAAGCCAGTACATGTCCAGGCCCGTCTGAAGTTTGCTAGAGTGCATTTGGATGATCCAGAAGAGGATTGGGAGAATGTCATATGGTCAGATGAAACCAAAATAGAACTTTTTGGTAAAAACTCAACTCGTCGTGTTTGGAGGACAAAGAATGCTGAGTTGCATCCAAAGAACACCATACCTACTGTGAAGCATGGGGGTGGAAACATCATGCTTTGGGGCTGTTTTTCTGCAAAGGGACCAGGACGACTGATCCGTGTAAAGGAAAGAATGAATGGGGCCTTGTATCGTGAGATTTTGAGTGAAAACCTCCTTCCATCAGCAAGGGCATTGAAGATGAAACGTGGCTGAGTCTTTCAGCATGACAATGATCCCAAAAACACCGCCCGGGCAACGAAGGAGTGGCTTCGTAAGAAGCATTTCAAGGTCCTGGAGTGGCCTAGCCAGTCTCCAGATCTCAACCCCATAGAAAATCTTTGGAGGGAGTTGAAAGTCCGTGTTGCCCAGCGACAGCCCCAAAACATCACTGCTCTAGAGGAGATCTGCATGGAGGAATGGGCCAAAATACCAGCAACAGTGTGTGAAAACCTTGTGAAGACTTACAGAAAACGTTTGACCTGTGTCATTGCCAACAAAGCTTATATAACAAAGTATTGAGAAACTTTTGTTATTGACCAAATACTTATTTTCCACCATAATTTGCAAATAAATTCATAAAAAATCCTACAATGTGATTTTCTGGATTTTTTTCCCCTCATTTTGTCTGTCATAGTTGACGTGTACCTATGATGAAAATTACAGGCCTCTCTCATCTTTTTAAGTGGGAGAACTTGCACAATTGGTGGCTGACTAAATACTTTTTTTCCCCCACTGTATATATATATATATATATATATATATATACACAGTGAGGGAAAAAAGTATTTGATCCCCTGCTGATTTTGTACGTTTGCCAACTGACAAAGACATGATCAGTCTATAATTTTAATGTTAGGTTTATTTGAACAATGAGAGACAGAATAACAACAACAAAATCCAGAGAAACGCATGTCAAAAATGTTATAAATTGATTTGCATTTTAATGAGGGAAATAAGTATTTGACCCCTTTGCAAAACATGACTTAGTACTTGGTGGCAAAACCCTTGTTGGCAATCACAGAGTTCAGACGTTTCTTGTAGTTGGCCACCAGGTTTGCACACATCTCAGGAGGGATTTTGTCCCACTCCTCTTTGCAGATCTTCTCCAAGTCATTAAGGTTTCGAGGCTGACATTTGGCAACTCGAACCTTCAGCTCACTCCACAGATTTTCTATGGGAGTAAGGTCTGGAGACTGGCTAGGCCACTCCAGGACCTTAATGTGCTTCTTCTTGAGCCACTCCTTTGTTGCCTTGGCCGTGTGTTTTGGGTCATTGTCATGCTGGAATACCCATCCACGACCCATTTTCAATGCCCTGGCTGAGGGAAGGAGGTTCTCACCCAAGATTTGACAGTACATGGCCCCGTCCATCGTCCCTTTGATGCGGTGAAGTTGTCCTGTCCCCTTAGCAGGAAAACACCCCCAAAGTATAATGTTTCCACCTCCATGTTTGACGGTGGGGATGGTGTTCTTGGGGTCATAGGCAGCATTCCTCCTCCTCCAAACACGGCGAGTTGAGTTGATGCCAAAGAGCTCCATTTTGGTCTCATCTGACCACAACACTTTCACCCAGTTCTCCTCTGAATCATTCAGATGTTCATTGGCAAACTTCAGACGGCCCTGTATATGTGCTTTCTTGAGCAGGGGGACCTTGCGGACGCTGCAGGATTTCAGTCCTTCACGGCGTAGTGTGTTACCAATTGTTTTCTTGGTGACTATGGTCCCAGCTGCCTTGAGATCATTGACAAGATCCTCCTGTGTAATTCTGGGCTGATTCCTCACCGTTCTCATGATCATTGCAACTCCACAAGGTGAGATCTTGCATGGAGACCCAGGCCGAGGGAGATTGACAGTTATTTTGTGTTTCTTCCATTTGCGAAAAATCGCACCAACTGTTGTCACCTTCTCACCAAGGTGCTTGGCAATGGTCTTGTAGCCCATTCCAGCCTTGTGTAGGTCTACAATCCTGTCCCTGACATCCTTGGAGAGCTCTTTAGTCTTGGCCATGGTGGAGAGTTTGGAATCTGATTGATTGATTGCTTCTGTGGACAGGTGTCTTTTATACAGGTAACAAACTGAGATTAAGAGCACTCCCTTTAAGAGTGTGCTCCTAATCTCAGCTCATTACCTGTATAAAAGACACCTGGGAGCCAGAAATCTTTCTGATTGAGAGGGGGTCAAATACTTATTTCCCTCATTCAAATGCAAATCAATTTATAACATTTTTGACATGCGTTTTTTTCTGGATTTTTGTTGTTGTTATTCTGTCTCTCACTGTTCAAATAAATCTACCATTAAAATTATAGACTGATCATTTCTTTGTCAGTGGGGAAACGTACAAATTCAGCTGGGGATCAAATACTTTTTTCCCTCACTGTGTATATATATATATACAGTGGGGAGAACAAGTATTTGATACACTGCCGATTTTGCAGGTTTTCCTACTTACAAAGCATGTAGAGGTCTGTAATTTTTATCATAGGTACATTTCAACTGTGAGAGACGGAATCTAAAACAAAAATCCAGAAAATCACATTGTATGATTTTTAAGTAATTAATTTGCATTTTATTGCATGACATAAGTATTTGATACATCAGAAAAGTAGAACTTAATATTTGGTACAGAAACCTTTGTTTGCAATTACAGAGATCATACGTTTCCTGTAGGTCTTGACCAGGTTTGCACACACCGCAGCAGGGATTTTGTCCCACTCCTCCATACAGACCTTCTCCAGATCCTTCAGGTTTCGGGGCTGTCGCTGGGCAATACGGACTTTCAGCTCCCTCCAAAGACTTTCTATTGGGTTCAGGTCTGGAGACTGGCTAGGCCACTCCAGGACCTTGAGATGCTTCTTACGGAGCCACTCCTTAGTTGCCCTGGCTGTGTGTTTTGGGTCGTTGTCATGCTGGAAGACCCAGCCACGACCCATCTTCAATGCTCTTACTGAGGGAAGGAGGTTGTTGGCCAAGATCTCGCGATACATGGCCCCATCCATCCTCCCCTCAATACGGTGCAGTCGTCCTGTCCCCTTTGCAGAAAAGCATCCCCAAAGAATGATGTTTCCACCTCCATGCTTCACGGTTGGGATGGTGTTCTTGGGGTTGTACTCATCCTTCTTCTTCCTCCAAACACGGCGAGTGGAGTTTAGACCAAAAAGCTATATTTCTGTCTCATCAGACCACATGACCTTCTCCCATTCATCCTCTGGATCATCCAGATGGTCATTGGCAAACTTCAGACGGGCCTGGACATGCGCTGGCTTGAGCAGGGGGACCTTGCGTGCACTGCAGGATTTTAATCCATGACGGCGTAGTGTGTTACTAATGGTTTTCTTTGAGACTGTGGTCCCAGCTCTCTTCAGGTCATTGACCAGGTCCTGCCGTGTAGTTCTGGGCTGATCCCTCACCTTCCTCATGATCATTGATGCCCCACGAGGTGAGATCTTGCATGGAGCCCCAGACCGAGGGTGATTGACCGTCATCTTGAACTTCTTCCATTTTCTAATAATTGCGCCAACAGTTGTTGCCTTCTCACCAAGCTGCTTGCCTAATGTCCTGTAGCCCATCCCAGCCTTGTGCAGGTCTACAATTTTATCCCTGATGTCCTTACACAGCTCTCTGGTCTTGGCCATTGTGGAGAGGTTGGAGTCTGTTTGATTGAGTGTGTGGACAGGTGTCTTTTATACAGATAACAAGTTCAAACAGGTGCAGTTAATACAGGTAATGAGTGGAGAACAGGAGGGCTTCTTAAAGAAAAACTAACAGGTCTGTGAGAGCCGGAATTCTTACTGGTTGGTAGGTGATCAAATACTTATGTCATGTAATAAAATGCAAATTAATTACTTAAAAATCATACAATGTGATTTTCTGGATTTTTGTTTTACATTCCGTCTCTCACAGTTGAAGTGTACCTACGATAAAAATTACAGACCTCTACATGCTCTGTAAGTAGGAAAACCTGCAAAATCGGCAGTGTATCAAATACTTATACAGTGGGGAGAACAAGTATTTGATACACTGCCGATTTTGCAGGTTTTCCTACTTACAAAGCATGTAGAGGTCTGTAATTTTTATCATAGGTAGACTTCAACTGTGAGAGACGGAATCTAAAACAAAAATCCAGAAAATCACATTGTATGATTTTTAAGTAATTAATTTGCATTTTATTGCATGACATAAGTATTTGATACATCAGAAAAGCAGAACTTAATATTTGGTACAGAAACCTTTGTTTGCAATTACAGAGATCATACGTTTCCTGTAGGTCTTGACCAGGTTTGCACACACTGCAGCAGGGATTTGGGCCCACTCCTCCATACAGACCTTCTCCAGATCCTTCAGGTTTCGGGGCTGTCGCTGGGCAATACAGACTTTCAGCTCCCTCCAATGATTTTCCATTGGGTTCAGGTCTGGAGACTGGCTAGGCCACTCCAGGACCTTGAGATGCTTCTTACGGAGCCACTCCTTAGTTGCCCTGGCTGTGTGTTTCGGGTCGTGGTCATGCTGGAAGACCCAGCCACGACTCATCTTCAATGCTCTTACTGAGAGAAGGAGGTTGTTGGCCAAGATCTCGCTATACATGGCCCCATCCATCCTCCCCTCAATACGGTGCAGTCGTCCTGTCCCCTTTGCAGAAAAGCATCCCCAAAGAATGATGTTTCCACCTCCATGCTTCACGGTTGGGATGGTGTTCTTGGGATTGTACTTATCCTTCTTCTTCCTCCAAACACGGCGAGTGGAGTTTAGACCAAAAAGCTCTATTTTTGTCTCATCATACCACATGACCTTCTCCCATTCCTCCTCTGGATCATCCAGATGGTCATTGGCAAACTTCAGACGGGCCTGGACATGCGCTGGCTTGAGCAGGGGGACCTTGCGTGGGCTGCAGGATTTTAATCCATGACGGCGTAGTGTGTTTCTTTGAGACTGTGGTCCCAGCTCTCTTCAGGTCATTGACCAGGTCCCGCCGTGTAGTTCTGGGCTGATCCTTCACCTTCCTCATGATCATTGATGCCCCACGAGGTGAGATCTTGCATGGAGCCCCAGACCGAGGGTGATTGGCCGTCATCTTGAACTTCTTCCATTTTCTAATAATTGCGCCAACAGTTGTTGCCTTCTCACCAAGCTGCTTGCCTATTGTCCTGTAGCCCATCCCAGCCTTGTGCAGGTCTACAATTTTTTCCCCTGATGTCCTTACACAGCTCTCTGTTCTTGGCCATTGTGGAGAGGTTGGAGTCTGTTTGATTGAGTGTGTGGACAGGTGTCTTTTATACAGGTAACGAGTTCAAACAGGTGCAGTTAATACAGGTAATGAGTGGAGAACAGGAGGGCTTCTTAAAGTAAAACTAACAGGTCTGTGAGAGCCGGAATTCTTACTGGTTGGTAGGTGATCAAATACTTATGTCATGCAATAAAATGCAAATTAATTACTTAAAAATCATACAATGTGATTTTTTGGATTTTTGTTTTAGATTCCGTCTCTCACAGTTGAAGTGTACCTATGATCAAAATTACAGACCTCTACATGCTTTGTAAGTAGGAAAACCTGCAAAATCGGCAGTGTATCAAATACTTGTTCTCCCCACTGTATATACTACCAGTCAAACGTTTGGACACCTACTCATTCAAGGGTTTTTCTTTATTTTTACTATTTTTTACATTGTAGAATAGTGAAGACATCAAAACTATGAAATAACACATATGGAATCATGTAACCAAAAAAGTGTTAAACAAATCTAAATATATTTTATATTTGAGATTCTTCAAATAGCCACCCTTTGCCTTGATGACAGCTTTGCACACTCTTGGCATTCTCTCAACCAGCTTCATGAGGAAGTCGCCTGGAATGCATTTCAATTAACAGGTGTGCCTTGTTAAAAGTTAATTTGTGGAATTTCTTTCCTTCTTAATGCGTTTGATCCAATCAGTTGTGTTGTGACAAGGTAGGGGTGTTATACAGAAGATAGCCCTATTTGGTAAAAGACCAGGTCCATATTATGGCAAGAACAGCTCAAATAAGCAAAGAGAAACGACAGTCTATCATTACTTTAAGAAATGAAGGTCAGTCAATACAGAAAATTTCAAGAACTTTGAACGTTTATTTAAGTGCAGTCGCAAAAACCATCAAGCGCTATGATGAAACTTGCTCTCATGGGGACCGCCACAGGAATGGAAGACCCAGAGTTACCTCTGCTGCAGAAGATAAGTTCATTAGAGTTACCAGCCTCAGAAATTGCAGCCCAAATAAATGCTTCACAGAGTTCAAGTCACAGACACATCTCAACATCAACTGTTCAAAGGGACCGTGTGAATCAGGCCTTCATGGTCGAATTGCTGCAAAGAAACCACTACTAAAGGACACCAATAAGAAGAAGAGACCTGCTTGGGCCAAGAAAAACGAGCAATGGACATTAGACCGGTGGAAATTTGTCCTTTGGTCTGGAGTCCAAATTTGAGATTTTGGTTCCAACTGCTGTGTCTTTGTGAGACGCGGTGTGGGTGAACGGATGATCTCCGCATGTGTAGTTCCCACCGTAAAGCATGGTGTAGGAGGTGTTATGGTTTGGGGGTGCTTTGCTGGTGACACTGTCTATTATTTATTTTGAATTCAAGGCACACTTAACCAGCATGGCTACACAGCATTCTGCAGCGATACGCCATCCCATCTGGTTTGGGCTTAGTGGGACTATCATATGTTTTTAAACAGGACAATGACCCAACACACCTCCAGGCTGTGTAAGGGGTATTTTACAAAGAAACAGAGTGATGGAGTGCTGCATCAGATGCCTCCACAATCCCCCGACCTCAAACCAATTGAGATGGTTTGGGATGAGTCGGACGGCAGAGTGAAGGAAAAGCAGCCAACAAAGCTCAGCATATGTGGGAACTCCTTCAAGACTGTTGGAAATGCATTCCAGGTGAAGCTGGTTGAGAGAATGCCAAGAGTGTGCAAAGCTGTCATCAAGGCAAAAGGTGGCTATTTGAAGAATCTCAAATCTAAAATATATTTTGATTTGTTTAACACTTTTTTTGTTACTACATGATTCCATATGTGTTATTTAATAGTTTGATGTCTTCACTATTATTCTACAATGTAGAAAATAGTAAAAAATTAAGAAAGACCCTTGAATGAGTAGGTGTGTCCAAACTTTTGACTGGTACTGTATATTATGTATATATATATATTAATATTATATTTCCACACTGTTGGAATAATTCTGTGAAATTGTGAAAATGATGATAATGCACTTAGTGTAAGAGTTTGAAATGACCACCAGAAATGTCAGCTTGTTTGGCTGGGTGGGGTTTTGGACAGCCTGGTTATTAGACCAATAGCAAATGGAGTTTGCCCTCCTCTCTGCCAATAACAGTTAGTTTTCTAAGAAGCTATTTTTGTTACTAATATATATATATATATATATATATATTTATATATATATATTTAAAACAATCACAGTAAGGTACTGTTACCCAGACATTATTTGATATTGAGATTTTTTAAAACGGCTGCATTGGAACTTTAATAAGAACATAACGTGAATCTATATGGTACTTACAGCAGTTGAACCTTTTTTGACCGCTTCCTGTGCGTAGTCCACCTGGAATAAGTGGCCATCAGGTGAGAACACTGTGATGGCACGATCGTAGCTCATCTTTCATTCAATTCACTTTTGCATAAAATATTATTTCTGTGTCCTTGACTTGCCTACGCTCTATAAACAAAAGTGAAAGTAATCAGACTGAAGGGAACAGCATATTCAAATTGAACACAGCGCCTCATCCTGGTCATGTCTAGAAGGATACAGCTTTTGTAAAATTTGACGTCAAAAGTAGAATATTTGTATTTGTATTTTCGCTAACACTAACCCTTTTCCTAATTTAAACCTACTTCTCCTAACCTGCTACGTTAATGATCCTAACCTGCTAAGTAAATTATCCTAAAACGAATGTTGACAAAATCTGTATCCCTTCTAGACAAAACCCCTCATCCTGACTTCTGTCAAATATATTTTTATAACTAACCCAGGATAAACCACAGTTTATCGTTTCCAATGGGAACAAATGAGTCATAGTGGGCAGAACAAGCATGAGCTTGAACAAGCACGAGCTAGCGAGATCCTATTGGGGCGTTCTAGCATGTATTTGCATATTTCCGTTAGGGAACTATGCCTACTCTGTAAAGTGCGCATGTACAATAACTCAATTCGCCCTTGTACTCCTTCTAAACAACGCAATTTGGCAAAGGGTAAAAGCTACCAAATTTAGTCCACTCGGTTCGTAACAGATTCTAGTTTTGGGAACAGGAAACTGTATTGAGATCAAATGAGAAAAATTAAAAAGTTAGCATAATGTCAACCAAAATCCATCTTCTCCCACTGCCGGCCACCAGGCTTCCTCTCATCACCATATTTGGTAGTGAGTGGAAACGCCAACCGGATGCTTCACACTTACACATCCAGTGAAATATCTGTATTATTGTTCTATCTGTGTGGAACCGCCAACGTTTGATTTATTGCGGCCATCCACCTGTTGCTGTTTACGTTGGAGAGCGAGGGTAGTAAATCAAAAAACACCCCTACCACAGTTTCTAAACCCAGATGCGCAACATCGCGAGACTTCCTGGAACGCTTGCGAAACAGACTAGGACCTGGGTTTGGAAGTCAATGAGAGAAGTGAAAAATTCTTCCCTAGATGTTATTTTTCTAGAAATCTAAAAGGTACAACCTAGATTCAAGCCAATCTCTTAGGTAGTTGAGCATGTTATTACTCCAACCTCGTGAAAGTGACAAACTGATACATTTTCGTCAAAAACAACTTTATATCGAAGGAGTGCCTTTGATTTTGACGACCTCCACCAGCGAAGTTCGGCGCGAGACGACCCGATTACGTGTTTTTACGCATTAGTTTAGCTAGCCAATGTCGCCATGACATCTTCTACAAGTGTGATCGGGGATTTCTATTGGAGAAGCAGTTATACCAAGATATAACTAACCCAAGATAGCTAATCTGTGTCGTTCACAGTGGGCGCAAATTAAGCATAGTGGGCAGAACAAGCAAGGAGGTCGGCAAAGCCAAGTACTAGCTAGCGAGATCCTATTGGCGCGTTGTAGCATGGCTTTGCATATTTCCGTTAGGGAACGACTCCTCTTTGAAGTGCGCTTGTGTACGAACTCAATTCACTCCTTCTAAACAACGCGATTTTTACAACTTTGGTAAAGCGTCAAGTCTATAAATGTAGTGCACTGTGTTCGTAATAGATTGTAGGTTTGGGAACAGAAAAAGGTATTGAGATCAGATGTTTAATCGATGAGAAAATTTGCAGAATGTCGGCCCAGTTTTCACCTAGTTTCCATCCCCGCCACCCGCGACTGGACTTCCTCTCACTACCATATTTGGTGGTGAGAAAACGTTCTAAACGGATGCTTCAGATTTATAGCCCTGTGACGTGTCTGGGTTAACCCTTCTCTCTGTGGTTTTAGCCTGTCTTCATAATGTACTGTCTTTACCCCTACTACTGCGTTGTCTGGCTATCGTAAAAATTTATGATTTTTTTTGTTGCTTTTTGGTCTTAATTTGAGGTTAGGTTTAAAATCATATTTTAAGAAGACAAATTGTAAATAATAGGCGGGGTTTATGACTTTGTGGCTGTGGTAACTACTTACTACCCTACTACTGTGAGCAATTCTACTGCAGCCTATATACGACTGGTTTATACCAAAAAATTACTGAGTGAGCGTCTCGACCAAGGCGAATCTTTTCATAGACATTATGGAATTCTGATCAACTCTCCATCTTTGCAACATCACTAAATGTAGAGTAAGCTATCAATTTGCATGCATCCAGGAGGATATTGTTGTTTATTCATCATTTATTTCCATTTTGGAGTAATACAGGGGTTCACACACCCCTATGATTTTCAGAAAATGAGAAACCTAACTATGTTACGGAAGGCTGCGCGCAAGATATAAGGTGAATATTAGAATAAAAAGGAGCTTAGAATTTTTTTGTTTCCTATTATCACAATGTCTGTGGCATTTTCATCGGCGCGCCCAAGTAGTAAAGGGGAGGTGACACAACAAACTATACAAAAGGTAATGCATTTTTTTCTCCATCACGTCGTCAAATAGGACGTATTTTGTCGACTTGAGAGCTTGCATAGTCAGTCAGTGTCAATGGTGGGAAAGTAGTGAACAACAGCACACAGAAGGCAACTGGTACAGTAGAGCGAGCCAAACGGCGACGTGATGATATGACGCTATTAAAAACAGAATAACATTACTCCAAGGCTACTTTTTGTTGTTGTTTCCGTTGCCCCCTAAAACTTCAGTGTGGCTTTCTATGGAAGCTTACATAACGCCTACTATGTTATGCGTTAAAACAACAACAAATGTTGTCTAATAATAGATCATCAACATCCTAGAAAAATAATGCAAGTTTGTCCCGAGTCTGACTGAAATATTGCTTATTCTGGTGCATGAACTTCAAGGGATTTTTTTGTGAACTGTTGAGAGTGATTTTTTTATTGGATCAATATTGTATCCTTTGAAAACCAAACTCCATATTGTTACCAAAAATAGCCAGGGGTGCCAGAGACCTGAGAGTAGACTAGTGAGAATTCTTTGGACAGCCAGTGGTAAGAGGCAGGTGCACTCGATGAATGGATAGTCTGACAGTGGCGACAGAGAGTGATTAATTGAAGGTGTGTGGATCACAGTACAGTCGGAGCCTACGTGCAACATCCTTGGCCCATTGTTTATCCTCCAAGGAACGGGGCAGGCATTGCATTAACTTTGGGTGGCTTTCAAATGGAGATTTGTCTGTTCTTGGACAGCAAAGGGAAAGACACAACACAACTCCGAGACGAAATGTTTCTGTGTGAAATGGCTTTTCTGTGTGACATTACGAGTCATCTGAATGCAATGAACTTGCAGCTGCAGGGTCGGGATCATGTCATCTCTGATATGTACAGTACAGTGAAGGCATTTAAAACCAAACTGACTCTGTGGGAGACGCAGATGCGGAAAGAAAATTTGAGCCACTTTCCCAGCTGCCAGACCATGAAAGAGAAGCTCTCTACCAGTGCGTTCCCGAGCGCACAGTTGGCTGATAAAATAGGTATGCTTGCCGCTGACTTTCGACGCCGATTTGCTGACTTTGAAGCACAAAAAAGCAGGTTGGAACTGCTCGGTAACCCATTTGCTGTTGACGTGGAAAGCTCACCACCAAACCTCCAAATGGAGTTGATTGACCTCCAATGCAATGATGCACTGAGGGCAAAATATGCGGCAGTGGGTGCTGCGGAGTTCGCCCGTTTCCTCCCCGACACAATGCCCCAGCTGCGCATCCAGGCTGCTCAAACGTTGTCTATGTTTGGCAGCACATACCTGTGTGAACAACTGTTTTCTTTGATGAACCTGAACAAAACATCACACAGAAGTCGACTTACTGCTGAACACCTCCACTCAATTCTGAGGATTTCCTCAGCTCAGAGCCTTACCCCGAACATTGATGAACTTGTGGAAAAGATGGGACACCACCAAGTATCACCCTCAACCTCAAACAAGTGAACATTACTGTGCAATCACATATTTAGAGTTTTTACTCAGTTCAAGTTTAAAAGTTAAAGTTTAATATTTGTTTTCACTGCATGTTACTTCTCCTTAAACAAAGTGTTGTTTTTGATTAATAGATTTTTGCACTTTATTTTATTGTATTTCAATCCAATTATATTTTAAAAATATTTCAGTTGAGTGGATGATAGAAAATTGCTATTATTGTTTTTTTCTTTGAAGTAAATTTAGCCCACTTTTGCTAAAATAGAAAATATAGGCTACTGATGGTGCCTTGAATACCGGTTTCTTTCATTTAATGTTCATGTTATGGGGATTTTTATATAAAGGAAATTTGTCTTTTGTGTCTGTTGAAAATTAAAGATTACTGACAGAGCCATAAGAAAATATTGCTTTATTTATCTGATCATATTGGAATATATTTGTTAGGTTTTCAGTAGGTTCAATTAGGTTCACTAGACTATATGCGTCATTTAAAAAAATTTCAATGAACATTCGAACAGTCCGGCCCTCGGCTTGTAGCTAAATTTTTTATTTGGCCCTCCGTCCATTTGACTTTGACACCCCTGGTTTAGGGCATCCGAATGTATTTTAATCAAACACGGTTAGAGCGCTTAATTTGGATATGTGTACCATAGTTTATAGAGGACAGTGTAACAGATGTATATCGTACTCTCCTTGCGTTGTGTTTTCTCTTAATAAATCACATCAGCCAGTGGTCCCAGTTGAGCATCACATATTTCTGTTGTTAAATGGGAAACAGCACGTTAGTTGTGCGGAGCTTAACGATATTGATGGCTGTCGATGGCAAAATCCCTTGCATCACATTTTCATACTGGGCGAACAAAATACAAAAATACAATACAAAATATAACATGTGTAAATACCTGTTGTTAAATGGGAAACAGCACGTTAGTTGTGCAGAGCTTAACGATATTGATGGCAAAATCTGTAACATGAAGGCAACTGTGTTAGCAGTGGGCTCATGTGACCATTACGTCGGTGTATGCTAGCTAACACACTTATCTACAGCAATCATATGCCAAAGCACATCCCAGAAAGCCCCTCAATCCCTAACAGGT